CTCTGTGTTTGACTCCTCTGTGTTTGACTCCTCTGTGTTTGACTCCTCTGTGTTTGACTCCTCTGTGTTCAGTATCTACTGTCTGACTCAGATGAGCAGAGTCTGTCCAGCTGCGTTGAGTGGTGAGTGCTGTGTTTTCCCACGGTGCAGTGTTCCTGAAGGCAGCGCGGCGCTCCGCTGCCATGTTGTTGTGAGAGTCCGGAGCAGCGGGACCGAGGCGCACCGAGGCGGACTGAGAGTCGGAGAGTGTCGGTGTGTGTCAGCGGACACTCGGTGAGCAAGGAGCCGCCGCTCCTCGGACCCTGTGCGGACCCAGCTCAGCTCTGTGTGGAACTCTCTGTCCGGTACGTCGTGTTTTTCCTTCGCTTCAAACTTCTCCCTCTGTCACCACCTCCGGCTCCGTCCGACTTTTCCCATTCATGCTAACAGGCGCTAGCTGCTCAAACTTAGCGCCGTGAACAACTTCCTCTTCCCGCCGCCCGTTAAGTGTGAGCCGGGGCCGGGGGCGAGCCGGGGCCGGGGCCGGGGACCGTCTGTGGCGACGAGAAGAAGCGAGCACAGTTTACTTCGAGGTCCAGTATCGATTGACGAGCGGTGTTTTGGAAGCTAACATCCGTGCTAACAGGCTAACGCCACCAACTGACCCAGAAGTACTGGGAGTCAGGAAACGATGTGAGGAGGATGAGAAAGGTCGTAGTGTGGAACTGTCTGTGACGTGTCCGTCGTGGAAGACTGGAAACGCACCATTTATCAAGTGTGGCACAGTTTGTACAAGTTGATGTGTCGTTTAAAGGTGCAGGGTGTAGAGTTTAGTGACATCTAGTGGTGAAGAGTCATGTTGCAGTGGAACACCCCTCACCTCTTCCGACCTGTGGTCAACTTCAGCTGTGATTAAAAACTCAAACAGTTTAGTTTGTCCAGTCTGGGCTACTGTAAAAAAAAAAAACACGGCGGCCCCCGAGAGAGGACCCACTTCCGCCGTCAATGTAAAGTATTTAAATGTAAAGTATTTAAATTTAAAGTATTTAAATATAAAGGGCTCATCCTACAACCATGTGTACAATTTGGATGAAACACACGTGAAAACATCACAAGGATTCTTTTCTGTCACATTTCTGCCAATAGATTCTTTCACCTGAATCTTACACACTGGACCTTAAACCATGAGAACTTTCCACCTGTAGCATAAAGTTTAAAGTTAGTCCGTCTGTCTCACATCAGCTATACTGACACCTTTTCGTCCACAGAAGAAAAAGAGAAGTTTGTGCTTGAGTCTGGTCTGTAGTCGGGATTTACTCTGCACTAAATCCTCTTTTGTTTTTACTTGACTTCTCCTATGAGAGGACGGTGTTAAGGTGGAGGTCTCGTTCACATGTCTGCTGCTGGTGGGATGAAGCTGATTATCCATTTACACTCGGTAGCATGCGGCTTAGTGTAAGAAAATAATTGTTTGTAGACCTACTTACAAACTGCTTGTTGCTGTGAATCTTAAACAACACACGGTCACTTCTAGTTTTCTGTCTTTCAGAGCTGTAATCAATTATTATTGTCATTTTTGATTAATCTGAAGATTTTGTTAGTTGTCAAGACTGTTAAATGTACACTTTGAAAACAGACAGGTCATAAACCCCTGCCTCCTCCATGTTAGTGGGAGGGAGAAGGACCAAACAAAAAAATAAGCCAAGAATACATTGAATCAAATCAAACAATTCAATCAATTCTGTCATTTTATGTAGTTCTTTCTACACTGATGTTTGCTCAAATGTTCATCTCTCTGATCTGTTTAGTTTTAATTAGTTATTTGATGATTTAAAAACAGACAGAGACATCATGATGATGGCTGAGTAGGACTTGGTCGAGTGTGTGTATCGATATCGAAAAGTAAATCCACCCAAATATAATTCAAGGATGTATTGATCGTTATGTCCAACCCGGAAAACTACTCAGAATTCCTTTATAGAACTTCAGTTATATTCATCAGTTATGACTTCAGGCAACTGTGACATGGGTGCGTCTCATCTCCTCCTGTTAGATGTTATATAGACTAAATTATTTATCAAAATAATTGAAAATCGATTAAAAAAACAACCGTCAGTTGCAAGCCTGTGCACACCCACTTATGAAACACGGAGGATACCAGACTCTGCTTTACACCATGTGCTGTTTTTAACCTAAGACAGAGAGACGGGTTTCAAAAGTGTTGTGTGCACAGCGGCTGTTCCTTGATGAAGAACCAACAGGGAAGCTCTGAGGAATTATTCTCCACACAGGTGATGAGCTGTTCATTATGATATATCAGCTTCTTTGACTGTGGGAGTGTGAGTGGGCGGAGACCTCTCTGCTCCTAGCATTGTCGAACTAGTTCTGCTGGACCTGACTAGGGCGAGGCTGAGTTACAGTAAGTACCTGACAGGTTATCACCCACATGTGCTTTCACTCAGTGAGCTCAGAGTGTCTCTCCTGGCTTCCTGTGTAATCCAACACTTAGCATATAATCCAGTGTGTCTCTGTTTATAAATGGATGCAGATTACATGCAGACAAGAGCAGGTTGGTTCATTGTTGCCATAGCGACGAGGGAGTGCTTCATGTAATGCAGTAGAGTTGACGCAGTATAGTATATACATTACAAATATATAATCATTTTCTTGTTTAATGGATTTGTTTTAAAAAACGGTGGAGCATGTGCATCATACTTTTTCTAGAGCCCATGGGGAGCCCAGTAACCCCCAAAAAATGTGATATATATTCAAAATATATTTGGCATGTTAGCTTGAAAAATGACTTAATGTAGTCTGGACAAAACAACTCGCCCTCGCCTCTGGACAAAGGCTCGGTTGTCGAGAGCAGAGACTCAATAAATGTGCACAGGAAGTTAGCTGCTTTAGAACAGGTAACAACAGATGCAAGGGAGCAGATGAAAATACATGGTATTCATTTTAAATAGTTCTGGAAGACAGGAAGACCACAACCCTGCAGCTTAACTTGAAGGAGTTGTTCTCCAATTTAAAACTACTTACAATTAAAAAAAACTACAAGATCAAAGTTGATGCAGCAATATTATGGTCTTTTTGTTTATCAATTCTACACATTATTTTTACCCATCAACGTCTTTTGCCTACATTAGCCATAATTCAGCTCAGCCCAACAGTATTAAATGGAGATGATTGATTCAAAAAAATTGTGTGGACAAAAATTCAGGCTTGCAAGGCAGGGCAGCACAGCCCGATCCCATTGGCCGCTTCAATAATCTGAGATGCCGCCAGGTGGCGCTATCAGCAGCAGCCCAGCAGGAGAGACTCTGCTGAGCTGTGGCCAACACGTCAGCTTCTATTTTCTCTGACTGTGTTGAACTGTGATGTTTTCACATTTCAGATGATGAAAGTCAAACTTGAAAGAAAAGGTCTGGTTTTGTCCAATGACAAACCAGAACCAAACGTTGGCCAATCAACTGGAAAGATTTTGCAGAAGATTCCAGCATCTCTGAAGTTATTACAGCCATCAACACATATTTTAAGGTGTTCCAGTTTCACTTCTCTGTTTCTCTTGTAGCCTGAGCAGTGAATCTCTCACTGAAACATGAATCAATTTACATGTGGTCTAGTTTCCGTTTGTGAAGCTTATTCTGGTGTTGATCATATTCAGGATATGGTGAAACGTTGAGAAATCTGGTTATTCATATCCATGTATTCATGATAAATACAAGTATCCTGATTACTAATAACTGTGCTGTTTGCGTTGGCACCTGGTGTTTAACGTTACTAAAACATAACCCACCGGCAGTTTTGATTCCTGTATGGTTGCTATTGAAAGTGAGGCTGCTTTGGCTTACAGCAGGTTTCTCTCTATTAAATGCAAACTTATCAACTGTGTTGAGAACAACAACACATATTTAACATGTCCTCTGCTTTGGTAGGCGTTGTGCTGACACTATCAACGCACAAAACCAGGGAGCTGTGGATGATGATCCGCAGCTGTGACTGGTGGGTCGTCATGATGGAGTTCAGTGAAACCGAATGGAGGGAATATTTCTTTCTCGTCCTTTTACTGACTGTGTATCACACGAGACAGGAGGAAACAACAGTACTAGCACCACTTGGTTGAGGCCACACCTGCACAGGTAGACGGCAGTGGTCAGAAACTGGGATAAGATTTACGTGCACCAGTGTCTTGGTTACTTAATGGAGTACTTCAACCTGTAAAGCCAAGATAAGGGTTTGTCCAGGATACTGAAATCAGGATATGATGATCACGTGCTTGAACCAAAAAGGTGAAACTGAAATTTTTGTCCTAACAGATGCAGGATTGTTTTCACAGTATTGAGGTCCCATCAATACATGAGGTATTGACCTGAAGTGATTTTGTTTTCCTGGTTTATTCATAAACATCTTTGATAAACAGTGTTTGCATGGAAAATGCAGAAAGTCGAAGCTTTGCTTCATATCTCTCTGCTACCTGTCGTGTTTATTTGCAGTGGAAAGGCTCAAAGGTTGAGTTCAGCAGAATGAGGGAAACAGATGGCTGTCTGTTCAGAGCAAATTCCTCAGGAATGCCATCCTGCTAGTCTCGTTTTTAATACAACACAACGCTCATGTTACCTTCCAGCTAGCCTACCTTTGTGTGGCAGTGAAGGATGAAGTTTTGATATATATGATTAGTTTTTTTACACAGAATTTTACTGTTGGGTACTGTAGACATTTACCCAACTCAGGTACCCATCGTTACCTTTTCCCTGTAGAGCTTTGGGACCTGGAAAGAGCATAATGGAGACAGGATGTGACGTATACATTCTGTTACCGAAATCACGGGATTTTGAAGCTTATTGACCCTTATCATTAAAAGCTTGCAAATCTCCGTCTAAGTTTACGTCTTTTTCTGCATCTTCTACGTGTATGGCTCTTTTAAATCTTGAGATAGTTGTATAGTTTTTTTTTTTAAATTAATTATTACCAGCGTCACCAACTTCAGGCACATGGCCAGACAGTGTATGTGGTTTGGTTGCCAAAGTATGTGAAACTCTGGGTGAAACTCAAGTTAACGTGTGTCTGCTAATATTAGAAGACGGGAAAGATCCCTGTGAAGCTGCTTCTGTTTCTGCATCTGATGGATTTCACCCAGTCGTTCTTCTTGGGAGTCATCAGCGTGTTTGAGCGCGCACTTGATGAATCAGTTACGAGATATTTGTTTGAACCTGTTTGAGTAACTGATTAAACCTGTCCACGGTGAAAACTGCAGTGACTTCAGGACTGAATGAGTTCCTGCAGAGGTTGCAGCTTTCACAGACACAACACAAAAATCTCAGCAACACACAAAAATGGTTGTAATGGTTTAATCCCCATAGAGCAT